TGTGCAGAGCTGCTGTTGCTACAATTTTGTGATTGGTTGAATAACTTTTATTAGTAAAATTTCCAGAGGTTGAGCTCTACCAAATGCGAAATATATAAAATCTGTGCATTCATTTCAGAAATCCCTACAGTAAATTTAAAGGTTCTATAATTCGAGCAACGCTAAAAAAAAAACAAAAAAATATCGATTTTGTTCGATAACAATTATAGGACATGAGTTATCGAAAAAAAAGATAGCACCGCATGGCACTTTGGCAAACAGGAATACACATTTAAGATTATAAGTATTTAGTATTTGTGCTTAACGAAATCGTTGCCTTCAAACGGACGGACAGACGTGGCTAGATCAACTCTGAATATATATAGTCTATGTTGTCTGTCACGCCTTCTGCCGCCTGTTGCATACATAACCACATAACCAATATAACCTGAATTGCCATTTTTAATAGGTAACTTTGAGTAATGGCGAAAAGTTCAATTCTGTATGATAGATAAATATAATATGATATGATAGATAAAGTTTGTGTGTCAGATTCAAGCTTTAAACAGTCTTCGGCATAATATAGTCAGAGGACCAACTGTTGGCTTCTATAAAGTTAATTTGAATGCCAAATATATTAAACTAATATTTTAAATATAATATAATATACTAAACTAATTTATTCAACAGTCAAATTTTTTTCTCGGCGAACTGTGTGTAAACTGTGAAGTAAATCAATGTTATCTCTGTAACATAGCGATTCGATCCTGGGAACTTAACTAGAACCTTAAATTTGAACAAGCTTTGAGTTAACTATACACATAATCAGCTTTCAGAGTTTTTATTGTGGATCAGCCATAATCAAGGGATTCATGAGCTCGGCTTATATATTCTATACCTCTCTCAACTTCTGCAACCTGTCAGATACTTGAGCAAAGCAGTCGAAAAACGAGCTATGCCCGGCATACCCTTTCCAAGCCGCCGCTGAACATGAAAATCAAACACGTCACGGCAATTAAAAGCGACGCTGGCCCAGCTCAAATCCAAGCTTAAATTCGATACAGAGCAAACAGAAAGCAAAAAAAAAAGGCTAAATAAATAAATAACCGAATAACGAAAGCGCTTAAATGTTTTGCCTTTGCCAATTGAGCATTCCAAGTAAATTTGTTGCTTTTTTTTCCTTATTTTTTTGCCGTGCCTGATAAATGACAAAGGCGCCCATTTATTAACCTTAACTACAATTATGGCTGCTGACCACAGGCAGGCCGGCTGGCCGACTGGCCGGCAGGACTTGGCTTTGGTAATGGTTACAGCTCTAACTCCAACTTCAACTCTGATTCCGGCTACGTCTGGGGCACTCTGCATGCCAAATGCGAGCATTAACTGCCATTAGTTGTGGCCTATGTGTGTGTGTGTGTGTGTGGCAGCTGATGATGCGGCATGCGGCATGCGGCTCAAACTTTTCCACTTTGCAACTATTTCAAAAGTAAAGCGAAACTTGGCCAGCCTCCTGCAACTGCTGCTCCTACTCCCCCTCCCCCTCCCCCTCCTTCTCCTGCTGCTGCTGCTGCTGCTGAGCACTGTCAACGCTTTTTTGGTGCCAGCAACTGACGTCGATTTCCAATGCGATTCATGTCTACTGACCCGCTGCTCCACTACCCACCGCCACCTGCTACTCGACTGCCTGCTGCATGATTTATGATTTTGCCAAAAGTATTTCTGTGGCCAGCAGCAGCAGCAGCAGCAGCAGCCTCGAGCCTCAGCCCGTCCGACATACAAAGTTGTCTGCTCAAATCATTTTAATTGAAAAAAATTACACATGAACGGAGCCAAAAGCTGAAAACGAGAATAAAAACTCTAGCAAATGGCAGCCAAATCACCAAAGCCCCACACCGAAACTTAAATGCTCTCGCCAAAGCAGCAGTTAGCTGCAAATCATATTACGGAAGGCAGCCAGAATGCTCCAAGAAATAGTTTGTATTCCATTCAAAAACTTTAGCTTCGAGTTTTTATCTCCACGAATGAACTGAATGAATGATGAACTGATTGCTAACGGCAGCTGTGGCAAGGTTAAAGACATGTCTCTGGTGTTTTTTGTTAACTTACATAAGTTTAAGTTATAATAAAATACCAAAATATATTTTAAATATCAAAAAAAGGGATTTATTTGAGTAGTAAATTGTCTGACATTATTATTTAAATATAATTTTTGTTCATTTAATTAGCAAACTTTAAGCTAAAATGGCTCTTTTTATAAGCATCACAATCAACACTATCAACGTTTTTGAAGACTGCCTCCGCCAGCCCATCTAAATAGCAAAGAGTCGAACTCTCTTGTTTTAAAGGAGCTTAGATAAAAGCTTGAGGATCATTCTTAAGCATTATTTGTATCCTTAATGCTCATTTAAGTATTCATTCAAGCTAAGATTGGCTTCAGCAGTATGAACTCTTTGAAATGTACGAACTGCAGTAAAGACTTCTCGAACAGAATCCTTGTTTTGATAACAAATTTCAATAAGTGGCAAACACTGTTCCAATTAAGTAAATGTCAAGCCATAGTCATTAAAAGTCAACTATCAGCTGTTAAATAAGTTCTTGAGTTAAGTTGGGTTGTCAGCTCAAAGTTGTATGACTCTAAAGGAAACAATCTTTAATGCATATAGACTTGGCCGAAGTTTCTGTTATGTGCTGTGTCTTAGAAAGTATTATATGAAACTAGTTGTTAGGCATGAAAATACATAAAACATAAATTTCAGACCAAGCTCAGCACAAGTCGTATATAACTTTCATATCGAAAGGGCAAGCAAATATATATCCAATGTGTTCACGTGTAGATCTCTTTATGAGAGCTGGCTCTGCTCGCTCGCTGTCTCGCTCTCGCTCTCTCTCTCTCGCTCTCTCGCTGTATTATAGTGCCGTCAAGCTCATATGCCCTTCAGCTGGGCAAGGCACAGTATGGGCTTGGCCATAGCCAGTGCGCCTGTGTGTGTGTCTGGAGGCTACACTCCGTGTCTTGCGTCTGCTGGCATTGGCAGTGCCTAGGCCTGGCACGTTCGCTAGCTACCGGAAATGTCCATTCACTTGCATATTAACAAAGTTCCGCACAGGCAGCGAACTGGACTGCTTGCATATACTTGGCAGTACTTAATAAACTCCCGGGACACAACGAGTGAAAATGACGAGCAGACGGACAGACTAAAAGCCATGTGTGTGTGCGTGTGTGTGTAGCTGGGGAATGGCCCAACTAAGTTGCTCGTACATCACAAATGTAGACGGAGAATGATGGGGCGGGCAATGCAAGTCACAGTGGCCTTTAGAGTGGCCTTTCCATAGCATACAACTGTGCGACCGCCTGTGGCGCTGCCCTGACTCTGACTCTGACTCTGCCTCCGCCGCTGCCGCTGCCGCTGCCGCTGCCAGTGGCAGTGACTGGCTGTGGTTGTGGCTCGACTTAACTGAAACAGGAAAGTATTTCGAAGGCACCGGAAACCGGAAGCAAGCAATAATTCAAATGAATTTCAAATCAAATCATTACAAAACATTTACAAAGTATGCGCAGCAAGCTGCACAAAACCGCACGAATCCCCCAGCAACAGCAACAGCAACAGCCGAGCGCCCGCAGCCTTCACTTGCATGCCAAGGAAATAGCCTTGAGACAGGACCTTGGTACCACACTCGACCCAACTCCACCGAGTGGGCCACTTCTAGGCAACTGCAGCAGGTGGCCAAGTGATTAATTTCTATTATTATGACACTGATTAGGGCCACTTACAAACTCATTACAGTCATGAACACACACACACACACACACACACACAAAGCGGAAGGGCGAGAGAGTGGAACTGTGCTCCTCGCACATTTATCAAGCCATTGGCCGCCACATGGAGCGGCCGTTTGTCTTGCACTTGACCAGGTCCGCAACCAAAGCAGCTAAATCAACAGGCAACTGCAGCGCACAGAGGCAACGCCACATGCCACGTGCCACGCGCCACACCAGTTGTCAAGGCCATTAAAGTGCCAGGTTGCAAGTGCAACTGAAAGCTAGAAAATATTGAGCATGCCGCAGGGAAATATCTTAGATATTATGTTAAGTGAACGATTCAGGAATTGAAAAGCTTCGATTGATAAGCGCCATGGAAAGGCACGAGAGAGAGAGAGAGAAATATACAGAGAAAAGGTGAAAAGGTGAGACAGAGAGGTTGAGTTAAATATAGAGAGAGAAGGAGACGGAGAAAATCATAGAGGCAGAAAAATATGCAAAAAGACAGAGAAAGAAAAAGTGCAGATAAGAGCGCCCGAGCTTGGAGTGCCCGACTAGCTAATACCCTGACCGCAGCATAAGGAAATGAACTAAATCTATATACTGCAAAAATATTTAAAGCTTCCGTCTTTGCGGTATTTAAGCCATGCCTAAAAATCGAAAGGAAATTATCGATTTTGATCGATAATAAGAAAACGGTATGAGTTATCGAAAAAAAGAATATAGAGCAAAATACATTTAACACGTGAAGTCAATGCGATTCGGGTATAATAAGGTATTTGGTGACTCCAGCTCTAAACAGATTATTATCGACGCAGTGCAGAGTTATCGATTATTTGAAAACAAAACTTGAACTAAGCGTAGAAGGCTGTTCGTGTACAATATTGAGTGTCAAACTGACGAGGTTGACGTACATCAAGCTGAATGGAAGAATGTCTGAAGGACGGCCGGACGAACGGACAAATAGAGAGAAAGGATTTGATGTACTCGATTGTTGCTGCCGATACACAACATTAACGCCTCTTTCCGCCTGCGACACACATTTTAACTATCTCAGTATAGCCTCGATTACCATTGATAGTTGTCTTTCCGACTGAATCAACCCAAAGACGTTGATTCCCTTCCAGTTTTTCAATAACTAAACAAATAGTTTCGTTAGCAAAATTCACTGCATAAATAAATAATTTAATTTCGTACATAAATTTCAAAAAAAAAAAAAAATTGTGTTGCTTAGTGTAAGTTGTTGGGCTGAGGACTTGGCTCAGCCGCGATTGGGACGCACGACGACCACTTTGGGTCGCTTCTTGCCATTTTTGCCCTTGTTGCCCCTGCGACGACGTCTGCCTTTGCCCTTCTTGTTGACGCGACGGCGACGCTGCTGGACGCGTCGCCGATTGCCACCTGCACGGGTGGCCACCGCCTGGCCAATGACCTGGGGCAGCAAGCCGTTGACGGGCGAGGAGCCATAGATGACCTGATTGAGGGCAGCCTGACTGTTGCTCACACCGGTGCCGGCGGTCCCAGTGCCAGCTGTGCCGGTGGTGGTTACGGGCGAGCCATTGCCATTGCCGTTGGCCAGACTCACATAGATGGCGCCATTGGCAGCGCCGTTGCTGCTAGCTGCGCCGGTGCCTAGGCCAGTGCCGAGGCCAGTACCGAGGCCAGTGCCGAGGCCAGTGCCTAGGCCTGTGCCCAGTCCCAGGCCAGTGCCAGTGCCAGTGCCGGTGCCGGTGACAGGACGCAGCTGTTCGAGCATGTCCTGCTTGTTGGTGATGAACTCGTTGAGCGCAGCATTCAGCCCATTGTTGCCGCCGACGCCGCCGACACCATTCGTATTGGTATTGAGGCCGGAGGCCAGAAAGCGCAGCTGCCCATTCTGATTGCCATCCTTGACATAGAGCCCGGCCAGCCGCGACTGATCCGCATCAGCAGCAATTGCTGCGCCCGACGAGAGCAGCGCCTGTCCGACCACAGCCGCCAGCAGAGCCCAAATGTGAACGCCTCGTGTCATTGTGCCGTCGACTTTGTTGACTGTTGGCCAGGTCCGGCGACTCGTCGGCTTTTATAGCGATCGAGCTGGCGTCTCTTTGCCATGATATGGCAAATGCCATATCGATTGGATCCCATACACAATGTACGCTTTCTTCGCATCGATTCTATGCTGGGCACAATTGCAAATATGCTCAGATCATTGCCAGAGCTTTTCGCTGGCCATTAGAAAGCCGCATACGCCCTGCAGCCAAATTTCAGCGCTGGGCCGTCGCTTTCTAAGCGTGTCAAGTGCCCATTGTTTGTCCAGCACAGAGCTAACTCGTCGCAGATCGCTACGAATCGGCTCAAGTGCCGTTCACAAAATGAAAATGAAAATTCGACAAGCGTCCAGGCCAACAATGAGGTAACAATCGCGCCTCAAGACTTTTGTGCAGGGCATCTGAACTCTCTACAATTGTAGTCAACGAAGTCGAAGTGACTTAGGCAATGCCAACTGCTGAGTGGCTAGGAAAACTTGACTGCAACTGACTGATTTGGATCTAGCTCTAGAGTAGGTTCAAGTTCAATCAATATGGAGACAGACTGTGAGGTCTGGAGCATAGAGTCTAGAAAAGTGCTAAAGTAATTCGAACTTTAATAGCTTTGCGTTCTTTCGATCTGTTTCTAATGGTTGTAGCTACAGATATATAGAGATTGAGGCTACAGTGTTTAGCATCTAGAATAGCTCAACAAAAACTCAAGCTGTATAGGGAATAGTTCCTTCCGATCTGCTACATCCTCAACAGTTGTATTTACAGATATAAAGAGACTTAGACTAAAGAGTCTACAGTCTAGAGTCTAAAGTCTAGAGTCTAGAGTCTAGAATAGCTCTACAGTAATTGAAGCTATAATATATATGGATTCTTCCGATCTTCTACGCCCTCAATGGCTATATAGAGATTTAGACTAAAGAGCCTAGAGTCTAGAATAGCTCTAGAGCAACTCCAATTGTAATAGATATAGTTTCTTCCGATCTTCTACGATCTCAACAGTCAACAGAGACTTAGACTAAAGAGTCTAGAGTATTTATATATATATAGATATATCAAATTTCAGGCGTATAGAGATCTAAATAGAAGCTCCTTCTACTTAAAATCAGATATAACAAAAACCGATTCTATATATAGATAAATATATAACCATAGAATAGATTGAACTCTTGACTTGAAATTCCGATATAAAAATTCCCACTGTATACTTACATTTATATATATATATCTATAACTTTTTCTAAAGTTAAGTTCAAGCCAAAAAGCTTAGTCTCATGCATCCTAAATAAATTAAACCCGTTGCAGCGCCTCTGAAGGGAGTATCCGACTAGCATACCCAACAGCAAGACGAGCCAAGCTTCACTAGCTTCTATAAGTTGCACTCATTCGCAGATTGCCCAAATGTCGACCAAATACCGCTTGCAAATTGAAAAGTGCTTGAAATGTCTTGGCTGAAATTAGTTTTTGAAATGGTCTCTTGTGTGTCAGGCACAGCTTTGGCCGCTGCATAACGCGCCTCTAATTGAATTGGCAGCAATTTTCGACAGCCTGTGGCCCACTGTGCAGGCGGGCCGCACGGCCCAAGTTTTTGGCGTAAACGACACTTTGCTGACGGCCTGGCGGGGCTGTTGAAATAAATTTCACTTGCGCCAACGCACACCCACGCACACACACGCACACCCCTAGCTATACACATGCGGTGCGTCGTTTACTTGGCAATGCAATTACGGCCGCTAACCGCGCGTGAAAATAGCAGCGCAGCAGCAACAACAATTGGTGAGCGGCTTAAAGCGAAGCAATGACAATTAACGAGGCAAGCGAAGACGTTGCACGTCGCAGCGGCATATCAATGACAGCGGCAGCAACGTTAAAGAAATGCGGAAGGACGTCCAGCTGGCAGGAAAGCGGCAGCAACAGCAACAGCAACAGCAACAGCAACAGCCACAGCCACAGCAGCAACAACGGCAATAGCTGCTGCTGATAGCAATGGCAACGGCGACATCAGCAATAGCTGCTACCAATGGCAGAAGGAACTGCAGCAATATCAACAGCAACAGCCGCAACAGCAGCAACATCAACAACAACAAAGAGGCCACGGCAACTGCTGCAAAGCAAAAACAGCCATACGCATATTCACAGGCCCCATTTGGCACGTATGTGTGTGTTGGGTTTGGGTCGTGGGGCCGTGGCTCGTAGGTCGAGGGGCAGCCATTCTCGAAATGCAATGCAAAACGTTAAGCGAAAACCGCACGCACTTCATTTCCACGTGCAATGGCACTGGCAATGTGTCGGGCAATAGAATGCCAGTCAAAGTTTTTGCCACAGCTACCTCAGCAGCAGCAGCTAACATGCAGCAGTGCCTAGACTAGACCCCTGACCCCTGACTCTAGCTCCGCCCGCCTCCTATAGCGACAAAACAAAAAGCAGTTTGCCCAAAATGGGGGAAAATTGCAAGGAATTTTAAGTGAAATTCCATGACATTTTAATGGGGTTACGATTGGGCACACACACACTGAACTGCAGACGCCAAATGTTTGCGCCACATGACAGCGCCTGATCCTAGGCAGCAGCCACAACTGCAATTTCTAGCGTCCATAAAAACTGGAAAGTATAAAAAAAACCCAAATTGAAATCAAATCAATCGAGCCAGCTGCGAATCTTGGCAAAATAGTTGCCTGACAAGCTCGAAAGAAAGAAAGAATATGGCCCACAAAACTAATCAACAGGGCAGATCTTAGACCAAGCCAATTGTCTCTGGACTTCAGTACTCATATAAGTTGTTTTTTCTAGAGTTTCACAGCTTTGAGTTAACAACAAAATTTTGTTTAACAATTCATTTAACAGCTGTTAGTGGACTTTTATTGACTCAGGCTTGACATTTGATAAATCAGAGCAAAGCTTGCCAAATATTAAAATTTGTTATCAAACAAACAGTTATATTCATTAAACTGATCATGCACTTCGTTCATTTCAAGGCTTTCATAATGATGAAGACAATTTTTTGTTCAATGAAGCAGAATTGTTGCAGTTGTAGTAGGGACAGTCTAGAAGCTTTTGACAACTCCTTTAGATACACAAATATATGCTCTGCAGTTTCAGATTGCACTTTGTGCACATAAACACAAATGAAATAAAGTTCTCAATTCAAAAAACTTCCTCTTATTGATATTAAAAATAAATTGCTGTGTTTTATTATAATTTCAACTTGCGTAACTCTAGAAAAAACACTCAATATATTTACTAGAATTTATGGCAAATGCCACAAAGTCTCTGCCATTTCGAAGATATTTTCGTGCTGGCTGGTCACACTCGAAGCGCAATGTCAACATGGGCAACGGAAGTGTTTTCAGTTGGGGAATGTTGACGTTACTTAAAATAGCCGCGGAAATGTAACGAATCTATGCTTAGAGATCAATAATCGCTCCCAGCCGTGCGCCCCCATCAGGTAAGCCCCTCAGCATAGAGCCAAAGGTGGCATTATTTTTAGGGGATGGACCGGTGGCCCGATCTACAAAATGACAAACAGACGCAGCAAATAAATAACACAAATGCGGGGCATGAGCACGTCGGGGGGAGGGGCAGGGGGAGGATCTTAGCTTACCACTTAAGTCGCCAGCCCAGCGGGGCGAGCCAAATTAACACACAGCCACGGGGAGGAACAGGAAGCGGCCCCCCTAAAAGACCTCTCATTTCAGAGCGCAGCTATTTTCGGATCAGACACAGACACATTTCTACAATGGGGCGCAAAGAGGGCGGCTCAGCGACCAGTTGCACGCGACCCCCGCCAGCAGCCAGCAGCCAGCAGCGAGCAGCGAGCAGCGATCTGCTTGCCATGTCGCACCTTTATTAATTGCAGCCGACGATGAGCCAGACGCGCCCAGACGAGCGTTTGACATGTTTAATGCGAAAAAGAAGAGACGTAGAAGTAGTTGTAAGTAGAGCGAGTATCTAGCGGCAACCGGGGTCTGGCATTTGGGGGCGAGCGATCTATTTTTGGGCTAGCGCTGCGGCGCGTCGTTGACATAGGCTGGAAATTTCGTTTGTCAACGAGCAGCTATTTCGGTCGCCTTAGCAACAGATCCGAATGCCAGCAGAACTCAAGCGGCAGACAGCTGATGCCACACAGGCCACAAGTCCAAAGTCCCTGGGCAGAGTCTGGAGCGCGAATGCGAATGCAAATCCCCATATATACAATATATATATATATATCTGACGAACGTGCGTATGTATTCTACATACATGGCATGTCCATGTCTGCGCCTTTGTCTGGGATATTGTACCCGGCTGCCGGGTCAAAATGAAACATTCCACTGCCACGACGCGTCGCGGCTGCATTAGCAACATCTTGACAGCAACAACGGAGCTAAAGCTGCAGCTATTTGCTGTATTCGCTCGCCTGAAAAACGAATGTAGCAACTATGCCAATACAGGCCTGAGACACATGCCATACTACCAGCTCACATATCCATAGCAGCAACGGTACTTACGACGTGCATATCCGGCCAGCAACGTTGTCTTACCTAACTAAAGTTTAAAAAAAAAAAATTGTAAAAATTATTTCATGATTATTTAACTGAAATAAAAAAATTTATTTTTTTCAACTTAAAATAAATTAAATAAATTTTCAAAAATTTCAATTTCAATTTCAGTCTTGAAATTGCTGTAGCATAAAGTTTCTCTAAGAATAATACTAAATAATGAAAACTTTGCTTTAATGCTTTAATTCAAGTATTTCTACCGCATGTTTCTATAACTTGGACTAAGCTTGTTAATGGCCAAAGTCTCTAGATGAATCCAAAGCTTACACGGCTTTTAGCATAATAATATATATATTTTTAACATCAACTTTTAAATAAGTATACATTAAAATTTTAAATTTTTAATTTTTTATTTAATTTTTATATAATTTTTTTAATAATATTCTTAGATTTTTACTATTTAAATTTATTTGCGAAAATATAAACTTAGTTTTTATTAATTTAAGAACTTT